TTATACAATTTTGCAAATAAATAATCTTTCTTCATAAATCTTGGCCAAAATTTATTCAGCTATCTTTTTAGCAAAAAAAAAAAATAACCCAAATTAGTTTATAACCAAAAAATTATAATTTTTCACAATTGTTTTTACATTTTGTTTATTTTTTTATATTATTATTTATGTTTTGGGTTTTTTTTTTTTTAACATACCATCACCCTAGTAGTACAGTGTCACCATAGTGACACTGTACTACTTGTGGTGGGTGATGAAGTTTCTTTTTTTTTTTTTTTACATTGCTTTTACACCCATAAAGGCTGTAAAAGAAATAATTTCCCCTTCTCTCTGGCTGCATTCTTGCAGCCATTGAGAAATACTCTGAGAGCTGTGATTGGTCACAGCTTGTCACATGGTGCAAGGCCATTGTGAATAGCCTTGTACCATGCAACCTCTGTGATCATTCACAGATTTCACAAGTAGTAAACAATGATGTCAGGAAATTTACTCTTATTATTGGCCAATCAGTGGTCACATGAATAAAGATCTCACACAGAGGTCCAGTACAGCTATCAGTGGACACAGCAGCGGGCACCGGATCGTGGTGCCGTGTGCTCCCAGGGAGTGCGCACAGACACTGAATGCGGGGGCCGTTTATAAACGGCTTCGGCACTGCTCCCGTCTGGCCATTTATGTACATGGTCTGGACGGGAAGTGGTTAAAGTGTATGTAAACCCAACATTTTTTTTCACTATGCTTGGCATCAGACCTCTGTGCACACAGTTTTCCTAAGAAAATATTTTTGTTTACCTGTTGAAAAGTTTCCTACTCTCTGGATGTATGCACATGCTTTATGCCACCCACAGTAAGGAAGGTACCATATACTTTAGAAGCAATGAGGAAAAACGAAATGTGGAAAATTAGGAAAGAAATGTAAAATGAAAAGGAGAATCACTATGGATGTAGTCATGTCTACTTGGGGTCAGCATGAATATGTATAAACACCCATCAACATCAAGTAAGAGACATTACATTAAGCTCATAATTCATCATGACCACATGCATAAAATAAGGTATTACCAAGTGGGTACTGTTCCATTAATCCCATACCAAGAGACTGTGGCAGCACAGTGGCTAAATGGTTAGCACTTCCACCTGCCAGTACTAGGGTCATTGGTTCGAATCTCAGCCACGGCACCTCCTGCCTGGAGTTTTGCCTGCTTTCCCTGTGCCTGCGTGGGTTTCCTCCGGATACTCCAGTTTCCTTCCACACCCCAAAGACATGCTGGTAGGTTAATTGGATCCTGTCTAAATTGGCCCTAGTATATGAATGTGAGTTTGGAACCTTAGATTGTACGCCCCTTGGGGGTTATGGACTGATGTGAATGTACAATATATATGTAAAGCGCTGCGTAAATTTATGGTGCTATATAAGTACCTGAAATAAATAAATATAGAAAACTAGGGGTGATAATTGGAAAGGAATAAGTATGAGGAAAACAGAAATCCTGGTGTCCCTGACAACATGCAAACGGTTTACCATAGGAAAAGTGCTGATCGAAAACCCATAAATATACAATATAATATTTTATATATAAATATACATACACAGAAAACATAAGGCACAGTGGGTAAAAATATGCCATCCGCTACTATCATTGCAAAGGGCATGAGGCTATCATCCAGGAGTCAATAAATGCACAGACAGCATATTGAATAAAAAACATCCAGCAAGCCCACCCATGTACATTACATTCAAGTGTCCCTTAGATAAAAAGGCATATGACTTGGCGTACTCAATATTGTACCAAAACATGTTCTTTGTATGACCAAATGGGCATAAATAATAGAAAGAACAGGAAAACCTGTCAAAAAAAAAAAAGAAGAAAAGAAAAGAAAGAAAAAAGAACAGAGAAAAAGGAAGAATACAGGAAGAGAAAGAAAGAAGAAAGGAGACAACCATGAATGTCTTACTTGAGGTAACATGAATGGTAACATAGGGTAGAATGAAAGACAAGAATTAAATTAACAGAAGTGGCCATTCTAATCATGAGGAAGCCAAAAATGTAGGCCTAACATGCAACAAAGTTCATTGTGGAACCAGTCGTAAGGCGGGGAGGAAGCTTGCAGAAGTGAAGACTATGTATTTATTTATTGTAAATATATAAAGTAATAAGTAAGTGATATTGTGACTTAAAGTGGAACTTTAGTCAGAAAATTAAGTCCTGCTAGATCACTTCAGGTTGGCCTCTTTTGCAGGTATAGCTACACTCACGGGCCACTTTTTTAGGTACACCTTGCTACCCTGGTGTGGTCGTCTGCTGCTGTAGCCCATCTGCTTCAAGGTTTGATGTGTTGTGCATTCAGAGATGGTTTTCTGGATACCTTGGTTGTGATGAGTGGTTATTTGAGTTACTGTTGCTTTTCTGTTATCTCAAACCAGTCTGCCCATTTTCCTCTGTGTCAAGGTCCTACCTTTCCTCAGGGCGTGTGCTGCTCCATGTGCTGGCATCCATCTTAGGTGTCTGCAAAGCATTGTGGGATCCTTTATGCTTTCAGCCCTCTGCAGCTCCTCCCCCAGGAGGTGGTGGCTTATCACATTTAAGTCTGCTGTTTGCAGCTGTCCATTGCATTTGTGTCCTGTCTGTTGCACAGCAGCAAGCTCCTGTTTAGTTTCTCATTGCTCTCCTGGATACCGACTCGGCTTTGGCAAGACTCCTTCCTGGCTTCTGACCCCGGCTCTGGTGACCATCCTTCCTGGCTTCTGACCCCGGCTCTGGCGATCATCCTTCCTGGCTTCTGACCCCGGCTCTGGCGACCATCCTTCCTGGCTTCTGACGCCGGCTCTGGCGATCATCCTTCCTGGCTTCTGACCCCGGCTCTGGCGACCATCCTTCCTGGCTACTGTCCTACCAAGTCATCCGCTGTTGCTGTTGGACTTGCATAGACTCTGTCTTGTTTTTGTATAATAAACCTACCTTTAATTGCACCTCCTTATGTGTCTGGCTCCTCACTCCCTGACACTCTGACATCAAAAAGGCATTTTCATCCACACAACTGCCGCTCACTGGATATTTTCTCTTTTTTGGACCATTCTCTGTAAACCCTAGAGATGGTTGTGTGTAAAAATCCCAGTAGATCAGCAGTTTTTGAAATACTCAGACCAGCCTGTCTGGCACCAACAACTATGCCATGTTCAAAGTCACCTAAATCCCCCTTTCTTCCCCATTCTGATGCTAGGTTTGAACTTCAGCAAGTCGTCTTTACCACGTCAAGATGCCCAAATGCATTGAGTTGCTGCCATGTAATTGGCTGATTAGCAATTTGTGTTATCAAGCAATTGAACAGCTGTACCTAATAAAAAGGCCGGTGAGTGTATGGAAAAAATTAAAAATGAGTGCCTATACTGTTTAAAATCCAGCAGGGTGCTGTGCACATGCTCAATTGCTCTCTGTGTTTAGGCACTGAGCCAAAAATCAGAGCCACTAGAGGCCAATCTTCTGACAACCTAAAGATTTACTGCTGCTTAGGGGCTCTGAGCTTCATAAAAATGGCAGCCTCCAGCAAGAAGCACACACTAATGTTTGTAGCATAATTATTAATGTGAAATGTATGTTTCTTACTAAAAAACATTTTTTTATCAAGTTGTTATGGGTTAAGTTCCCCTTCAATAGAATTTACTTTAATAATAAAGAATTAGAAATAATAGAAATGCTTAAAAATCTAATTTGTGCAATCGATAGCTTTTTAAATACGTTAGAAAGAATCCTTTTTGAATTTACTTTTATATTTTTACAATATAGTTCTGTGTACATTATATCCATGCTAAACAAATTCATACATTATCTCATGATTAATGGAAACCTATAGATGATTGTATCTCAGCAGCCTCGAACTTTAGTAGGATAAAGGCTGCTGGAAAAAAAAAAAAAAAAGAAGAGAAAAACTAAATTAAAAAAAAAAGAAAAAAAAAGAAAAGCTTCTCGAGACGAGTAATTTAGAACAAAGTCTTTAAAAACCCTGTGGGGAAGTTTTTATATCTCAGTAAATAATATTTCACAACATGCTTGCAGAAAACACAATTTCATAATGCTCGCTATATTTTAAAATGATTTTTTAAGCAATCAATAGATACATGATATTACAACAATGTATCATGGAGAAAATCAGAGCACAGATTAAAGATGCTTGTACTTGACAGAGATGAAAGGGGGGAGTGATTGGTTTCAGGAAGAGACTTAATTTTATGAAACTCTAAATTTTACCATAAAAAATAGAGAAAATGGATCATCGTGAAGTGAAATATGTACCAAATACCTCTTATGTCTACTGCGTACAACTCAAAACCTTGCCAGTGTTACATTTAAGAAGACGTTTAGATTAGACTAGAAGAGTTTATTTTTTTAACATGGATATTAATATTTTTTTTTTTTTTTTTTTACATGAACCTTGAGCAAAAGGCTCATTTAACCACTAGCCTACAGGGCACTTATACCCCCCTTTCTGCCCAGGCCAATTTCCAGCTTTCAGCGCTGTTGCACTTTGAATGACAATTGCGCGGTCATGCAAAACTGTACCCATATGAAATTTTATCATTTTTTTTTTTGTGACAGAAAGACTATTTTGGTGGTATTTAATCACCTCTGAGTTTTTTATTTTTTCTTAAATAAACCAAAAACCACAGAAAATTAAAAAAAAAAAAGTTTTTTCTTAGTTTTTGTTATATAACATTTTGTAAATAAGTGATTTTTCTCCTTCACTGATGTGCGCTAATGAGGCTGCAGTGATGGGCACTGATAGGCTGCACTGATGGACACTGATAGGTGGCACTGATGGGCACTGATGAGGAGGCACTGGTAGGTGGCACTGATGGGCATTAACAGGTATCACTGATGGGCACTGAAAGGCAGCACTGATATACGGCACTCATAGGCGGCACTGATAGGCGGCACTAACTGGCACTGATTGGTGGCACTGACTGGCACTGTTAGGTGGCACTGACTGGCACTGTTAGGCGGCACTGACTGACACTGATAGGTGGCACTGACTGGCACTGATAGGCGGCACTGACTGGCACTGATTGGTAGCACTGATATGTGGCACTGATTGGCATTGATAGGTGGCACTGACTGGCACTGATGGGTGTCACTGAAAGGCAGCTCAGATGGGCACTGATATGTGGCATTGATGTGCACTGGTAGGCACTGATATGTGGCATTGATGTGGCACTGATGGGCACTGGCACGTGGCACTGGTGAGCACTGACAGCTGGCACTGATGGACACTGACAGGTGGCACTGCTGGGGCTACACTGATCATCAGGGCACACTGATCATCAGTGTTCTGATGATAAGTGTACATGTCCCCTCCGCAGAATGCCGATTACCGGCTCTCCTCTCCTCTTGAGCTGTCAGCGTGACAGCTGGAGAGGAGAGAAATGCCGATAACTGGCATTTCCCTGTTTACATGTGATCAGCTGTGATTGGACACAGCTGATCACATGACCGAGCCGACATCTTCGGCTCTTTCCGTGGATCGGTGATCCGCTGTGTCCGAGGGACACAGAGCACCACCGATCACCACAGCTGCTCGCTCCGGGAGCTGCGCATGCGCGGTTAGAATGGGAGGACGTCATTTGATGTCCTCCCAGAACGAGAGAACCACCTTGCGTTTGTCATATTACTATATGGTGGGCTGGAAGTGGTTAAAAATGAACTCAATGATTCAATGGTACCCCAAAACAGTTAAATTCAAGGCATGCCATGAATGCAAACATTTGCTTGTGCTCTCAATTGAACTGTTATGCCATTTGATGACACCCAGATATATCTCTCCACTCACCAGATCACTCCCTCATTCTCCTCACGTATCACAAATCTACTAAGCGACATATCGGCATGGATGTCACATCACTACCTTAAACTCAATCTTTCAAAAACTGAGCTTGTAATATTTCCTCCTCCCCGATCCCCCACTCATGACTTTACCACTAACATCAGCAGCACAACCATTGGTCCTTCCCCTCATGCCAGGGTGCTAGGCGTAATCCTAGACTATGACCTCTCCTTTGGGCCCCACATCCACTCACTGGCTAAATCCTGCCGCCTCAGCCTCCAGAACATTTCCAAATTCCACCCCTTCCTGACCAATGACACCACACAACAACTTATCCATGCCTTGGTTATATCCCGCCTCGATTACTGCAACTCCCTCCTCACTGGTCTACCGTTACACACAGGCTATCCCCCCTTCAGTCTATTATGAATGCTGCTGCTAGACTCATACACCTAACTAACCGATCAGCGAATGCTGCCCCTCTCTGCCAATCCCTCCACTGGCTTCCACTAACTTAACGTATAAAATTCAAAATACTAACCACAGCTTACAAAGCCATCCACAACACTGCCCCTAGCTACATCGCCAACCTCATCCACAGATACTGCCCAAATCACCCACTCCGCTCCTCCCGTGATATCCTCCTCTCTAGCTCCCTCATCGCCTTCTCCCACGCTCGCCTCCAGGACTTCTCCAGAGCCTCTACCATCCTTCCTCTGGAACTCCCTACCACAGCATGTCCGGTCAGCCCCCACCCTGTCTGCCTTTAGGCGATCTTTGAAAACTCACTTCTTCAGGGAAGCCTACCCCACTTCCACCTAAGAACTGTACTTGAATCACCTCTGCCAGATCACCCCCGCAACTATCACCCTTTGTATCACCTCCCCCTTCCTTTAGATTGTAAGCTCCACAAGCAGGGCCCTCCTATTCCTTCTGTACTGAAATGTATTGTAATTGTACTGTCTCCCTTATATTGTAAAGTGCTGCCCAAACTGTTGGCGCTATAGAAATCCTGTATATAATAATAATAATAATAATAATAATAATCTAATGGCTGTTGGCATAACTGATTACATGTGCAGCACCATGGCAACTGCAGATCAAACAGAGGCTAAGATGGCAGCTTCCTTGGCTGTAAAGCATAGCAGGGTTTAGTTCCTCTTTAACTTTAACCCTGGCAACATATTATTCACCTTCCCTTAGCTCCCCACTACTCTATTCAGTTGTGGGAAGTGAAGAGAAAAAATGCTTGTGGGCTCTGTCTAAGTCGAAAATTATGCAGGACTCAGGATTCTCACCCTCATGTAGCAGAGCTGTACCACTCATGAGTATTGTCACATGGTAAGGGTAGCAAGTCATGTGATACCCAATACCCTGAAGAACGTAGTATTTTTCTAGAAAAAACTAGAAAACTTTAGTGCTCTTGAGCTTGGAGAGTGGGCCAAAAAATGTGAGTAGGCTGCAATCATCTCCTGGTTTTCATAAGATGCCCTCACAAGATTGGGGAAGTCTAGAGATACTGCCACAACAAACAAAACAGAAGGTGCACTGGCCTAGTTCATTATCTTTAACCCCTTGATGCCAAGTGCACAAAAATAATGGGCCTTGACGCCAAGCGGCAGCATATTTGTGTGCAATTAGAAAATATATATGTTCTGAGAGCGTGCGCTCCCAGCACATATATCCATGACTCATGGAACGGTCCTAAACTCCACTTTCGATCGGGACATTTTCTGTTCATGTGACCACAGTAACGACGAATCACGCCGGTCACATGACCCTGAACCTTCGCCCGCCTCTCGGCTTCTGAAACTTTTAAAGGGCTGGGAGGCGCCTGCACTAAGAGGTTAAATTATGGCTTTGGTTGGCTCTGGGGAAGAGGCTAGTCCTCAAAATGGTCAGCCTGTTGAGACTCAATGGTCCTGTTATTTTATGATGCACTGTGGATTGGACTTTGCTGTTTCCATGCGATGAGCTTGCACTTTTAGTCTACTTTGCAAGTAAAATACTTTCCTTTCTACACAATAAAACCATAATTTAAGGATAATGCACTAGGCTAGTGTGCCAACTGTTTTGTTTCTTGTTGCAGTATTTTCCCCAAATCTTTGAGGCCAAATGGATCAGTGGCTGAGCAAAGGGAAGTGCAAATTACTCCAGCTCACACTGCAGTTACACAATTTTTTCCTTTTGAGATAAAGCTTTTACATAACTAAATAAAAGCTGATCATTGTAAGCATTCCTGTCAGTGGTAAATAGTTTGTCTTTACACTCTTAATGGGTACAGATGCAGGAGAGCTTGTTCTGTTGATAACCAACAGACTTACTGGCTGGATCACCAGGTCAAAATAAGGAAAAGAAAGCCTATATGTAGCCATCACATCTAAAAATTGGGAAGGAGCAATATAATAAATGTTTGCTTTTAGGTTTAATACTGCTTTAAATGTACATATAATCTCATGGGAAGAATGTTGTTGAAATGAATGGTCTGATGACAGGTGCTCTCTAAATATAGAGATTTGAGGAAAACTTCTAGAAGGAGAGTAGATTAGCCACTGCCATCAAGTGGTATCACTGCTTAACACCTGCTGAGATAAGATATCTACACATCATAGGAAGGAAAATGTTAAATTTATGAGGGTTGATTTACTAAAGGGCACAGAGGCTAGTCGCTTTGCAAAGTGCATTTTTATTTTTGAGAGTGCATGTTTGGGAAGAAGATGAATTTGTGTTCACTCTAAATACTCAATCATGACAGAGGGGAAAAATGCAGGATCTTTTTCTAGAACAAGATTGAGCATTCAAAGTGAATACAGGTTTACTCTTACTAACAAGGACAGCCTCTACTCCTTTAGTAAATCACCCCTTAAGCCATAGATGAATCGAAATTCGACTAGTTCAGCAGAGATGATCAACTTCTGTTCAACTTGCTTGTTAGAAAATTTTTGTTTGATCAGAGGCTACAGCCATTGATCAGTGTATTCTGACAGCGGAGAGGTCCACTGTCAGAACAAAATGTCTCAGTGGGAAAGATTCCTCTATTCATGGTTGGCACAAGGGAGGGCTGGGCAAGGGAGGTGGCTGCTCTGAGCACTGTGGTATCATGTGTGGTGGTGGGGGGGATGCCACAGAGAGAGTTCCTGCTGCTTCAAGCTGACAGGAATAGCGACAGAAGCATCACCACTCCTGTCAGCTTAACACAGAATGTGACAAGGGGAATCAGGAAAACATATGGAGGTGCAGGCTGTGCTCTCTCTCCCCTCCAGCTCCTCCTCCTGCCACTGCAGCACTCCTGCTTCAGGACTGTATATGGTTTCCTTACCTGCCCCTGTGTCTTTCAAGCAAAAAGGAGATGTGGTGGGTAATGAAATCCCGGGGGTTTAAAGATTTGTGCTTGGAGGCGGGATCTTAGTAGGGAGGGGGGATTTGTACTGGAAGGAGGAGTATATTTTTTTTGGGGGGGAGAATTTTGGATTGCAAGGGGAATATACCGTATGCTTACGGGTTAGTGTGCAAATTAGTGCTCAGTTGTGGGGGGGGGGGGGGGGGGGGGGGGGGGTTGGAGGGGGTCATTTTGTTTTTTACTGGTAAGGCAAAATACAAAGACTGTGCATTATAAAATGTAGCACAATGAACAGTAAGAAAGGAGCAAACAGGTAATTTTTATTTGCAGAAAGACAATCACAAAGTAAAAATCAAGCACATGAAAGGAGCATACAACAATGTTGGCATATCAATAGCTCAACTCACAAAAAATGAGGACCAATCTGGTTGGGATAGGCATTCAATCTAACAGCAGATGTCGATGTATCCTCCAACCATCCCATTTATTGTTGAATAAATGAATCCTATCTAATAAAGTGTAATGGATGCATTCCATGAGCATGACTAAATCAATTCTCCGTAAAACAGAAGATAATGGGACTATGGGTGATTTCCAATGCAGGGCTATGGCCCATAGGGTGGAAACGCAGATGGTATGAATCAACCTCATCAAACTAGCAGGAACCCTAGGAATGGGTGAACCCAATAAACAAATCTGTAGCGACAGAACAACAGGAGAACCCGCCAAAACAGAGGCGACCTCCGATATCCTATGCCATATCAGGCAAAGACCAGGCCAGGCCCAAAACATGTGCATTAGAGTTCCAGCAAGGCCGCAAGCCCTAAAACAGAGGTGCGAGACTCCCGGGAACATAACATGTAGTCTGGAAGGGGTATAATACCAACGGGTAAGAACCTTAAGGGTCGTTTCTCGAACCGAAAGGGATCTAGAACCCCTGCATATGTTATCCAACATGGAGTCCCAGTCATCATCCGAGAATGTGACATTACAGTCAAGCTCCCATTTCAATCTATAAGGAGGTATAATGAGCATCCAGGAAAAGGCGATATAGGTCTGAAAATAAGGCCCTTACCTCTAGGAGAGTCACGGAAGATACCTTCAAAATAGGTAATTGGTAAAGACGGTGTCAGACCAAAATGGGAATTAAAAAAGTGACGTATTTTTAGGTTATGACAATGTTCGCAAAGCGGGGCATCAAAGAGGGTATGCAACAGGTCAAAAGAGATGAACGACCCCCCCCCCTCTTTGAAAGTCCGTTATTAAGGACTTGGTCATACCACTTGATATGCAAGTGGACATGAGAAAGCCGTGGCAAAATCAGATCCCCAAAAAAAGACAGCCACAGAGGAGCAGGGGAGACAAGGCCCAATTTAGATTTATATTGGGAC